TTTTGGGGACAGCTATGGTCAATGGGCCATATTCATATATTTTCTAACTTGCTTTATTGAGACGGTAAAAAGTAAGAGAAGAAAAACAATGTTTCGTGTTATAGAATCTGAAAGAAGACATTCGTTTTGTGTTTTCTTATTAGTGACAAACAGGTATAAACTTTAGGTTGTAAGAGTTTTATGAATATGCCCCCATGTCCTTTATATACTGTATATACAGTATAAAGTTCAGGCAATTCATGGTTTTTAAAGATTTATTTTAATATAATCCTTTTGTACCTATGGTAAAATAATTCAAATCATTGTAGGTCTCTGCTCAACACAACCTTTAATTATGCTCGGGGTTATTTGTAAATTTGTAAATTATTTATTTACAATAATAATATATTTATTATTTAATTTATTTAAATAATATAAATTATTTATTTGTAAATTAAATATTCATAGTTTAATCAAGAATTAGGTAAATTAAAACAGAATGTACAGAATCCACATCTGATTTTGACTTTCATGCTATGTAGTGCAATCAACTTTTCAAACAGGCACAAAATCTGCAAATAGTATAACAAACCTTAAGTTTTGAAATTTATTGACAAATTCATTTTCATACAGTACAATTGATTGCAATTATCAATCTGTTTATGATTTTGATTTTATGTCTTAAGTTAAATTTACTGCCTACACAAATCTTTTGATTACATTTAGTTTTGGTCCTTTTACCTCAGTATCTTTTTCAACATTTAGAAACCCTGATCTACCCAGAATGTTCAGTATATTTAGCATTTGCCTGATGTGTGTCCTAATTAATTTCACCCACTAAAGAATAATGTGATGGTTCAGCTGAATAGGCATAAAGAGACTCATTCCATCACTTACTCCTTCACTACTGCAAAAAAACCTTGCATTTTCTATCATTTTAAATATGTGTTATTGTACATAAACATACCACTTTTACAGTATCAAAACATTCCATCCCCTCACCTTTTGGCTGACCTTTGGCTGGCCAACCTGTATGTGTGAAAAGGCATGACAACATTGTCATCCATTGCTCCAATATCTAATAGGCTTTTGCTAGTATCACAGAAATGCATTTTAAAAGCTACAACACATTGTAGCTGAGATTAGGAAATGAGGAGAACAGTGCAGAAGACTGAGGTGCTGAACAGTCAAAAAAATGTTTCAGTGACACCCAGTGAATCTGCAATATGAATGGCAGGGAATCAAACATTTATCAGCTAGAAAAATTCCCATATTTTACTCAGTGTTACAGAATAAATCCCTGTGCTTTGTTTTCAATTCAAGCTGTAATAGTAAACAAAACCAAATGAGGAGATTATTCTTCAAGCTGAATGAATTTTTGCTACGCATTGCTGAGTTCACATATTCCAGATTGTATCTCTGACACATCTTTAAGTTAAGACAGTTCATTTGAATCTCAAATAAGCATGCAGCTTGATCTTTGTAAGAGAGAGAAACTATAAAAGACCTTGTGGCTTCACTACTTCATTAAGTGAACTATTAGCAATGAATTTCTATATCTTCCTATTGATTCCAATACTCATTTGTTTCATTTTAGTGCTGCTCAATATGTAGACTTTTTATAAGCAAGAGAAAAAAACCCTGTGCTGTTTCATAATACCATTTTTATTATACTTCTAGTAGTTCAGTTCTTAATTAAATGAGGTCTTTCAATTCACTGACAAACACCAGATGCAGAAAGTAAATACAATGTATGTTTTTTTTTTCTTTACAGTAAAGCCAGATTATAAACATTGAGTTGATTCATGTTTGTCATTTCTGATCCATGAGGCTGTGAATATTTTTGATTCTGACACATGCTTGACACTCAGCTCTGGACTGATTATTAAAGGTGTGAAAAAATGAGTCAAAGCGACAGGCTTTTGTGGCTATTAAAAGAAATAAAGATACATCTCCTATGTGTTATCTTAAAAAAGATTTTTCTTTTGTGGTAGCCTAGCAACTAACATTAATCTCAAGATCTTTATTTACAGAGATTTACAAAATCCTTTTATTTTTCTTTGTTATTTTTATACATGATTTTAACAAATGTAAACATTTAACATATTCAATTTCTATGAGTTATATTCATGTAAGTCATCACGTTTTTTATCCATGCATTTAAACATCCTTTGCTTTGTATATTTTTCAGAATATGTAATTCAATTACATTGATTGAGCTGTATTGTTCATGTGAAATACTGTAAATGATTGGGTAGTATTGGTACCATAATATGGCCATTTTGTCCATACCATGTAAATTATTAAAATTCATGGTATGCCACTGATAACTGAAGACTCACAACAAAACTGTGAAACAGGTCAAGAAGTGGGGAGTCAAAATAGTGTCAAATAAACAACTACCAAACAGCTTTTTACAGTATTGTACAGTATGTCTCTGTATTATTATTCTTCTTATTATTATGATTATGATGATTATTACTATTATTAGTGGTGGTGGTTTTGTTGATGCAGCAAGCGCTACTTGATTCTACCCATGAGGAATATTTACATTTATGTTTTCTTGTGATTTCTTGCTTGATGCTCCAGCCATCAAATGCCCAGGCTTAAAATCCTAGCCGATAATTGTAGAGGCAAGGTATATTACTTCACTTAGAATGAGATGTTATTAAAATTTCTAATAATATTTCTTTGCTTTGACCAGGCAGCCTGGGCCTCATGTATAAAAACAGGAATACAGCTAAGAAGAGGACAAAAGCAGGACTT